TTCATCTTGTTTTCTTTCAGAGTCAGCGCTCTCGAGCCTCCCGGGTGCGACAGCACGTCCACTGTGATTCCTGCTACAGCCGGCGCTGCAGGGCTCGGGTGGAGGTTTCGGTGTGCTGTCCGGTCTCCCCCTGCCGTCTCCTCTGTGGGGCCGTGTTCCACCTGTGCAAAGAGGAGGATCACCTGCTGCTCTGCCCCAACGTGAGGGTACCCTGCCTCAACGCTGGGTACGGCTGCCCGCTTCAGATGACCCGTTCCTCTAGAGCCGCTCACCTCCAGGTGTGTCCGGCCAGTTTGGTGTGCTGTTCCATGGAGTGGCTCCGCTGGCCGACCGATGACACAAATCCACATGGCTTTAAAGCCCTGGAGGACAAAGTCTTGAAGGACAGTGAGGAGCAAGAGGGTGCTCTCGATGTTGCCGTGGCCATGGTTGATCAGTCGGACTTGTACAGCCGCCTCACAATGAAGCCCCTCTATCCAGAGCTGGTGGAGGAAGATGAGGAAGAATTAAAAGATGAGGCAAAAGAGGAGACAGCTGTCGGAGGGTTTGTTGGTGGGGCTCCACACAAAGACTCCAATGAAGGTGAGCCATCGTCCAACCATTGTCCACTCCAAAATACTTTCCAACCCATATCTTTATCAAGTTTGAAGTACAGATGTCATTAAAAGGGCCCAGAATAAATGCAAAGTTTGTCTGATTAATGACAAAAAAGAATTCCTGAAAGATTGAGGGACGTTTAGTCCATCGCCAGCCCATTGCAGGGCCACACAGATACAAACAACCACACACACTCACATTCACTCCTGGGGGCCATTCTGAGTGTCCAGTTAACCTAACATGCATGTTTTTGGATGGTGGAAGGAAGTACTCAGAGAGAACCCATCCAGACACAGGGAGAATGACATAAAATGTCATATTTGATCATAAAACCTATTCTATTTACATGTATAAATGCGTTCTTCTGCAGGTCCCTCTGAGAATGATACCTGCGGAAGTAATGTTGGAGAAGAAGTGTTGCAGAACGGCGTGGGACAGAGATCTTGCGTCAACAAAGACAAATACAACCTGTCTGAGATGATGTTCAGCATGGAGAGAGGCGGATGTGCGGTTGCTCAAGAAAAACTTAACAATCCAAAGCAAAACCAAAAAGCTGGGGACAAGGCAAATACCCAGGATGGGAGTGATTTGACTGAGAAGGAGGACAAAGAGAAAGAAAGCTTAGAGGCTGAACCTGACATAAGTAAGACCGGGCAGGCGCCGTGGCAAAAGGGGGTCCTGGAGCGCCTGGGGCAGGAGCTCACTCCACAGGAATACAACATGTACGTGGTGCATCACGGACGCATGCTGCTCACCTTTGGGCAAATTCAGGCATGTACCCCGAGGGACAAGGATTTCGTCTACGGCAGCCTGGAGCCCATCCCAGTTCAGACGCTGCGCTCCTTTAAGGTGATGATGATAATGATGATGTCAAACTTCTCATTTCATTATTCTACTTTAAAAAAGCACAACTGCCTCATTTGGCTGTCTCTGTGGAGCCTTTTAAAATATTTGCTCCACTTTTTGCATTCGGTAGAAATCAGTTCCATACTCTCCTGACCATGATGTGAAGTAGTTTATGTAGTGTATTTAATATCTTAAAACTTACGGTATACTGTAGTGACGATGAACCATTACATTCAAAACCAAATCAATGTACTTTCTGGAGTAAACAGGTAAGAAATCATAACTGAATAAATAGAGTGCAATATATTTATTTATGTTTATTCTTATAATAATTACACCGTTGGCCCAGTAAAAACTCATCACATCTTCATATAATATGATCATTAATAACTATATAGTGACATGAAGAAGTGTGCAGTTTCAGGATATTTACTTTCTTCTAAACTGCGTTTTCTGTGCGGTACAGTAGAAAAGTACTTTGGCAGTTTAACCTTCGTGATTTGACAGAATAATTCTAAGTTAACGAGTTAGAAAGGAAGCCAGTCGCATGTGGCTCCAGAGATATGAAGAAGAAAGCCTGTATGATAAGAAAAACAAGTTGCACCAACGGAAAGATATCAACTGACAATGTTTGCAACGTGGGTGTTTGTCAAACATTTATTCATGTTTCAATGAAAAGAGTCTAAGAGAGGCAAACCATCCCGAGGCCCCCCAGACCTTTCAGTGCAGCTATCTGTAACATATCGTGGTCTACTAATCGTACCGATAGTCCTTTGTTTACATTCTCCAATCTGAATTCTGAGCCTTGAATCTGCCTTAAATTAGCATGACATTCCATTCTAAAAACTGATTTGACTAGTTTATTGTCTGGTTCATGAACGTGATGAGTAAATTATCCTAGAGCTGTCAAACATTCCATGTTTCTGAAACATTTTCTGAAATCACATCTATGCATTGTGTCTCGAAAATGGAAACAGAAGAATAAGACTTAGTCTCTTTGTCTTGGGATTTTCCATAATTTCTTCCCGGAAGGTCCCTGAAAGTTATCACTACAGGCGGAGAGTTCACCTGTGTGAATTGGCAGCACGAGCCCTGAGTGAACACAAAGACGTGGACACATCGGACCTTGGGGTGACTGAAGATGACTGGTACCAGGATGAAGCAGCAGCCACCCTGCTGGGCTACGCGGAAAAGGCGGTCATGGGTCACAAGGTACACGATGCTCAAAAGAACATGACCTGCCTACTTCTAAAACCTCTCAGCATGTACACTCCCTCTGCAAATACCTGAGACACGATAAAACAAAGCTGCGATTCAAAACTGCCGAAGTATTTGGATCTATTTCTAACTATTTCTTCCTCTGTTTTGTTGTTGTAGATCAGTGACTCAAAGGGGGCCGATGGGCTCTATGTTGACTTAGGGACGCAGACGCATTCTTTTCGCTCAGCTCCGTTCAAAACGAAGACGACGCTGGCGGAGGTGATGGTGGACAGACCCCTGAAGCTTCATTTGCAGCTGCAGGCGGAAAGCGTGAACAGCAGGAACAACAGGGCCAGCTGCGCCTTCTCCTTCATCTGCAATCACACCTTCCACCGCAGGGAGTTTGCCACACACTTCCGGTGTGTTTGAGTCAGCACTTTATACCAGCATTACGGTGATAATGACCCGAATGTGGGATCCAAGGGAGTTTTGATTGAACTGAAAATTTGACAACAAATCAGGAAGAAAGACTAGATGTATTAAACGCAAGAAGCAAGTTTTCTAGAGCATCACCTTTCCAAACTGTATAGGTGTGGATGAGAGCAATGACTTGATGAGCTATTGTCTCCTCCCCAGGAATGTTCACAGTGATATCCAGACAGGTTTGAGCGGATGGTTTGAGCAGAGGTGCCCTCTGGCATATCTGGGCTGCACCTACAGCCAGAGGAGGTTTCATCCCTCAACACACAAGGCCACAGTCACCTACAAGTAAGCACAACTCACAGCCGATAGGCCACCTCTATTTCAGATTCACGTCCAGTTTTAATCTTTCATGAGTTGAGATGGACAGAAATCGACCATCAAGAAAAAACAATGGAGAGCAAACAGAGAACTAACTAAACTAGCTCTAGATGGTGCATCACATAAGAAAAGAAATGATAACTTAATGATGATGATAACTTAAATCCTACTAAGACAGAAGAGGAGGCTAGTCACTTTATGGCTCAGATGGAAATTTGTTGTAATCAGGAAACAATGATCATGATTGCAAGGTATCGTAATGATATTTCTCATTCTTTGTTTGTTCGTCCATGTCTTTCTCAGTCAACAGCTGAGGAGTTTCAATTTGCGACCGGGTGTTCAACCTTTAACAACTACCAACTCCCCCAGCGGCGCAGTGGGCTCATCCGCTGATCAGGGGATAGGCGGAGGTCCGGCGGACGGAGGGGGGGACTCTCTGAGCTCTCTGCCCTTCGAGGTGCTGTGCCACGTGGCCAGCTTCCTGGACAGCCTGTCCCTGTCCCAGCTGGCCCTGGCGTCCCGCCTCATGAGGCAGGTGTGCTCCTCCCTGCTGCGGGAGAGAGGGATGGTCACCCTGCGCTGGGAGAGGAAGACCTACTCACACGGGGGAGCCAAGTGGAAACCCAAGCCGGTCAGATGCGTAGAATCCACTGATTCATCACGTCCCGCACAGGCTCTGACCCAAATCTCTCTCCGTTTTCCTCCTATCTCTGTCCAGGTGTGGGAGTTCAGTCGCCTGTTCACTCCAGTGGATTCGTGGCACATGGCGGACATCCCCCCGATATCTGCTCATTTAAAAGTCTGTCCTTTCTACCAGACCTCTGCGCACAGTGAGCCGGTTCCTCTTCCCAGCATGAGCGAGAAACAGGAAGGAGGCCAGAGAAGTGTAACCCTCCTCAATCATTTAACAGGACACAGATGCTAACAATGAAGATAAAGGGGGAAAAAAAAGAAAAAGCACTTTACTCTGACTTTTGTGACTGGCCTAAAATGATCTATAATCAAATTAAAGACTAAGTGCAAAGCTCAACATGTCACAGTTGGAAATAAACCAAATCTACCTGAATTTCATGAGTGCCTGTGCATGGTTTTGGTTTACGGCCTACAGCATGTCTGGTCTTTTTTTTATTATTATCACCATCTATGAATGCCATGCAGTGAATGGCTCTGGTTCAGGATCATCCCTTTTCAACTGGAAATAAAGCCGGTTTGATCCCCTGCTTCCCAGATTTACATTTCAAAGAGTCCAAATTGGTGACCTTAAGCTATTATTTGCACTGGTCCTCAAGATTTCCTATGAGAATAAAAGCAGGAGTCTGACTAAATTGTACCAGTTCAACCAGTCGTGTAACTCTTGTACTGAGCCATCAGTCATCCAGGTTTAATGTGCAACATTAAATCTAGAACGCAAACTTTTAGTTAGACCTGAACAATTAGTGCATCCTACTGATGTTTGATATGTGTGTTTTGTGAGTGCTTTTGTTCTCTTTCATTTTTTAAAAAGGAATCATTGGGAAATATTTGTTCACTTGGAGATAGGTGTATGTTGATAAAGAATGTTATGACTGACCAACAATGATTCTGTTTGACTTCACTTGTTTGATCGCTGGGATGATTTTGCATTCTGACATGTAGGATGACTTTTCTTGAAGGAAAGTCCCTCAGATCATCCAAAAAACTGTAAACTGTAAATTTCAGAGTTAAGATCCAGGATTGTTTGTTTGTTGTTGTTGTTGTTTTTTTGTCGATAATGACATGAAACAGGTAATTAATTCCTGTCAGTGCATCAAAAAAGATGATATTGTTGAAAAACCTCGATACAGACCTGATATATGTATCCAGTCTCAGAGAAATAAAGATGATTCTTCTGAAAATGTGTCAGTTTCTCAGATAACAAAACTAATTCAAACATGTGCAGTGTTGTGTTTTGAGTTATTTGTGACAGCAGAGGTAATTTTTGAGGCAAAAGCTGTTATAAGAAACCCACTCAAGCAACATATGCTGCCATCTCCAAACCCCGCCTCCTCCTGCTGCCTTCCACTCCTCCTCTCCGCCTCCTCCTGCTCTCTTCCTCTCCTCCTCCTCTCCTCCTCCCGGGCTGGTGGCCCCGGCACCTCCTCACGGCGCGCTGCTTTTGTTGAGCGCGCAGCGCCGCACTGCACGTCACGGCAGAAGGTGAGGGGGAGGTTATTTCTGACAGGCTGCTGCAGGATTCATTCACATCTGGAGAACGGCAAACTGCGAGATAGCTGCAGAACGTCTGATTGCACCGTTTGGCTGAGTGCTCGGGTCTTTTGTCCGCTCCGGCTCTGCGGCATCAAGGGCAGACGTTCGGGTCCTCCATGAGAAAGGGTTTGGATCTGATACCACTTCCGTATCACGGTAGGCCACGGTCAGTGATGGAGAATAAAGCACTCTTAAAGCAGCCGTGAAAAATGATAAAGTCGATAAATGGGATTAAAACAAAAAGGATGCCTTATACATGTGAGGTTGAAAAACATGGAGTTCAGATAGCGCAAGGGGGAAAAAACATGGAGCGCAAATACGGTATCATTCGTGGCAATGAGCGGGCAGATACACAAAACAAATGAGCGCCCTGAGCATCTATGCACTAGTCCAGCATCAATGCTTGTTTGTTTTTTTTAGACATCCAGGGATCGGGTTGCGTGGGCTTGCAGCCATGGATGCCGGGAGGCTGGAGCAGCAGGTGGCCAGTGTGGAGAGGGGCATCGCCTTCCTGAAGCACGAGCACCTGGCCATGCTGGCGGGTCTGCAGCTGGAGATCACGCACCTGAAGAGGCGCTGTCACGGTCAGCCCACCGGTGTCCGGCCCCTCACCATGCCCCCCCCCCCCCCCCCATGTCTCTCTGCAACCCTGTGTCACCGTCTCCTGTCCCCCTTCCTGTGTGCAGAGCTGAGCTGTGAGCTGGACTCCAGATTTCATGACAGAACCACAGCAGGTAAGAAATATAAAAAGAGAGGAAATTGTATTTTATTTTCCATCCCTAAATAGTTAATATTAGGATTTAGGATATTTAGGGATGGAAAAATAAAAAACACCATGTTGGATCTAAATCATTTCTGGAAACTAATATTAAACGGTTTATACTTTTTATGATGATCATGGCTGGCCAGTGTCTGTCCACATTAAATAGGACTGACTTCTGCTCCTTTTGACAGCTATGGTTTTTCACTAATGGAGAGTTTTATAGGTTAGAGCCTTGGTCTAAATGCCATGGACTGGGCTGAATTGAGCATTTTTGTCAACTTAACCACACATTTGTAGTTCTTAAGATCTATGTTTTTGCTGATGGTATTTATAAAACAATATTTTTCGACAGGTATGCTGTCGGCCATTGTTAAAGATGGGAGGAATAACGGCTAACCACTGAGCTGTGGATCTAAATCTTGTGACACTTTAACAGCTGAATGTAAATTAGTAAAGTCTGGCAAACGTCCACATCGTGTTTGCTCTGAATGTACAGTGATACTGAAGTCCTTACAGAGTCAGTTTTCTTTCTAACCATTCATGTTATCATTTAGGTTAGTTAAATGATGGTTAATTGAGACTTCGAAATAAAGAAGGGGAAATCTGGAAAAAATCTTCATAGGCATGACTGAAAACCTTCATCAGAATCCTCATAATTTATATTATCAGTCCTTTTTGTGTCAATTAAGCAATTGTTTTTGGTTAACTTCAATTTGACAACTAATTCATTACTGTTTCATTTTAAATAAGCCACTGTTCATCCCTTCATGCCCAATGGTGCATCGAGCATTACAATGTAAACAACTGAAAATTAAGTGGAAGTTGTGAGATGAAAAAAACAGTAAAGGTCAGTTTGATTGAACACAACTGTGAAGTTTGGAAAACAGTGCTTGGTTCTTCATTTTCCAGAACTGAATTAGTCATTTTCAACTATAAAATCAAATCTGTCATTCATGTCAGAAAAAGGGAATCAATAGCTAGCTTTTGGAAATGGACAGGGTAATAAATTTGCATTAGTTATTCAATAATGACAAACTTAATATGTTTGAACTATTGAGAAATGACTTTGACCTCCACAGGACAGACATCCTCAGATCTGTGCAGTTAGAGACTTTTTTGACAACACGCAAGAATTAGAACCAACTCACAAATACCAACTTGATAGAAAAGTTTATTTTTCATCGAAATACAGATAGGGAATGGAGATAAGAAAAAAAAAATCAGCGAATCTCCTTAGAATCTTGTGTAAGGTGTGTCTTTTTTGTGTGTCCCAGAGGAGGAGGCGGACCTGGCGGCCCGCTGTGAGGCGGCCGAGCGCCTCCTGGAGCGCCAGCAGTGCGTGATGCTGGCGGCGCGCGGGGAGCTGCGGGCCGGCCGGGCGCGGGCGTCGGCGCTGGGCAGGAGCCTGAGGGACGAGGAGCGGCGCTTCCTGGACGAGCTGAAGCGCCGCAGCCACCAGATCACGCTGCTGAGCCGGGAGCTGCAGCGCCAAAACCTCACCACCACCGCCCTCTACCACCAGCTGCACGCCGCCCGCCTAAAACTGTTCCGGCAGCGCCAGCGGGAAGGGGCCGCCGCGGGGGGGGAGCAGGGGGCCGGGGGACAGGAGGAGGACGAGGAAGAGGAGGAGGAAGAAGAAGAAGATGAGGAGGATGAAGACGGTGAGGGGGAGGACTCGGACTGGCTCCTGTCCCCGCCTCCTCCCGCTTCCCCTGACCATCCGGACGCCAGGAAAAAGAAGCGCCTCAGCCTGAGGGAGGACAGGGTCAGGGCTTGCGTCCCACAGGAAAGAGTGACCTCCCCTCAGAGGCCGCACCCCATGCCGGACCCCGCCCTCTTCCTGGTGCCCCTCAGGTACCGCCTCCTCCGCTTGAGACAGCCAACGGGATTGGCGGAGGCAGAGGGCGTGGAGGACGAGTGGGAGGACATAGAGGACAGCAGGGTGCACAGGAGGGTGGACATGGGGGCGGGGGAGGGAGAAACCGCCCTGTGACAAAGACGCAGAGCTGAAGCCGTCTCCCCGCAGGTTTTAAAGGACCGATGCATTTAATCCAGAGGCAGGTTCGGATGAGACGAACAGAAGCCTGTAGACAGCAGAGAAGGAGTTCAATATTTAGAGTTAGTTTCACCAGACCGCGTGAGCAGACCTACAGATAGATGCATTTATTCAATTAGCCTTATTGATGCTACAACATGCATGTGAACGGAGTGAAGGAACTTGGGTGGGGGGGAGATTAGTTGATCCAATGGATGTGTTTTTCATTTTGACACTGATGACCACAGCTTTTAGCACAGCCGATAGCTAGTAGCCTCGCCTCTGGATCAGTGAACACTCTCACCGTATCATTCTAAGCGGATGCTATTTCACCACACTAGCTGGATTCCAGTTTTAGGGTGTCACTATAGAAGGCTTTGGGGCATTTTGTATGATTTGCACTTTATTAAATTCATGCAATGTGCCTTGTTAAGGCGAAATGGCATGTATGTTGTCATGTTGTCTGTTTATAGGCTGGAGAAAACATTTCAAACAGGTTGTTTTCACTCTGTATAATGTATCAAATCATGACGGGGAGCCAGAAAATATCATTCTCAGTTTGTTAAGTTGAGTTAAAGAATATTATCCAAACTTGTAATTGTACCTATTTTGTTTTTTTGACATCCCAAAAGTATTTCATTGGATATTTCTCAGGTTCTTTTGAAGCTCAAACGGTTCATTGCCACTTGCTATTAGGATTTTATGTCCGAGTCACACTTTTGATAAGGTGGAGAATGCAAAGCACAGACTTATGATTTAGTCTTTAAACAACATTTTAGGATTAGTTTGTTGGTTGTCTACTACATGACCTGCAGAGATCTGGTGCGAGCATCGTCTTGGCTGATAAAATCACACAAGTGTGACTCCAAAAAACAGCAGACAAAGCTGAAGCAGAAAGCTGCCAAAAGATAAAACAGAAATCCAAAATAAGCACAAAATGGCCTTCACTGTTTGTCGATTAAACAGTTACAGATGTCAGGTCCCTGCACTGGGTGGCAGTGCAGCTCAAACTGGACTGTAAGGGAGGAATTCTAAATCTCATCCGTACAAAATGTCAGAGAAGGAGACGGCTTTGCAAAGGCTTTCTGTCACTGTAATGCACAAACACAGATATCAGTCATTTCTGTAGGCTGTGGCGAGTTCTGATGTGTCAGAAGAAGCTTGCTCAAGGTTGAACCACAGTGGGTTAGTAAATGAGAAGGAACACATACAAATGAACTGACTTTCTTTTAATTAAACACACCATAAGAACAAAGTGATTCAATGATTCCAAGTGGTGCACATATAGAAACTACTAAAGAAATGTGCCTCCATGTTTTTACCACTGCAACTTGTCTCCTGTTGTAACGGCTCAGAGTATTCCCACAGTGGTCTCGGCGACCATGATCAGAATGTAAATGCAGAGGCGCCATGGCAACCACAGACATGCTTTTCAGCTGGAGCCAAATAGAGAATAAAGGGCAAAGGGGTTTTCTTCATGGGCGCTGTCTGAGGACGGGACGTGTTGTGTCGAATGAGGCCTCACCGGTAAATACCTAATCAACCAGCCGGCGTTTGAGAGCGGTGCTCTTCTGTTTCAGGAGCTATCCTATGGATGCTGGGAATGGCCAAAAAGAATGAGAGCAGGCTTGCTTTAAGCAATTGCTTGTAGAATGATATGATGTATAACATACAGTTGCAATAAAAATCAGTCTATTCGAATCAAATGTGAAAACATTATTAAACAGCCCTCCCTGGCACAAGGGGAGTATTTCCTACATAGGTCTGCTCAGCTTGTCATTTGATTTATGTTTAAGATATCTGTGTGTCAACCATACTCAAAAATATCCATCACTCCAGCAGTTTTCCCTGTTTCACTATAGTGCAATGTGTAAATCTGGTGAAAATGTTTGCAGATTCATTTAATTTTAATTTTTAATGTGATGAACCTTGTGATGAACCTTCTAAAAGAAAACACACCACTGACCTACAGACAGTTTTTATGTTATCTTTCCTCTACATTCGAGTGGTGTAAATCATTATGATTAGCCTGAGATGTTGGAACGGAAGAGCTGAGAGAAGTGTGTCTGTAAAGTGGACATTAAAACAAAGCTTAGCTTTGGCAAAAACATCTTACTCATGCAACACTATCCTCAAGGACACCAACGGTGTCTATTTTTGGAAATAGACACCGGATCAGATTAAGCATTATAACTACCTATAATAAATACGCATAATAAAGATAAAGTTGTGGTAAAAGCAAGGAATATTTGAGATTCACCCTTTAAAGACTGCAATTTTGCAAGTTATAGTTTGAATTTAAAAAGGGAATGGTGGGTTTTTTTGGTCTGTAATTCTTAACAAATTTCTCAGCAATGCATTCTTTTTCTTTTGGTCACTGGCAGACTATTGACCTCTGACCCTGACTGTTAAGGCCCACCAAACCACGGGGTGACGTAGCTCAAGCTCTTTTTTTTAACGTTACACAAATTGTGGATCAACTACTCAATTCTTATTTTAGTTTCTGTTCTTAACCTCCACCCTTGTGACCGTTTTAGTTTTTTCAGTTGCCTGCAGGGAGTCATTTTGTGCTGTTTTGTTGTTTGTTTGTTTGTTTTTGGAAAACCTCTCCTGCTTTGACCAGAGGTGACAGGCAATATAGCTTTTTCGCCAGTAGATGGCAATAAAATCTGTACACTTAACATAGTGTTGCCAGCCACACAAGAATGCTCGAGCTGGTCTGAGTACAGGAAGTTACATCACTGCATGTTTGAGAGGGCGCCATCTACTGGACGCAGGTGGGTTAATGCTGGGTGAGCAGAGGACCTACTGGCTCTGTCACAGCTCCTCTCTCTCCACCCATGAAGGGCAGACACACACGTTCTGACACACAGTTTGTGTAACTGGTTGCGCAGCAAGGACAGGGAAGCCTCATGCTTTAGAGGAACGTCTGGGAAAGTCAGATCTCTGGTTTCAGACAGGATGGAAAGCAGAGGATCCTGGAGAAGATGACACAGACTGGCAGAGACTCCCCCATTTCTGCACTGGATGGTAGGACTCGTGGATTCAGCACATATATGTGTGAAACTGACACGACTTTACTCTTGTGTGTAAGGTTCACACACGTGTTTTTTGCTACAGTTTTGTGCTAATCTCCGTTTAAATAAGGGAATTTGTTTAATTGCATGTGCATTAAAATCTCAGCTGTTTTGATTCTGACACGTTCATGAAACCTAAAAATGTTCTCAGCCCATCTCTTTACCTGTGTTGCAGGACTCCCACATGTTCATCATCATTCCATCTGATGGGATTTAGTCTCCAAGGTGCTTCGGTGTGTGTAAGGTGACACCACTGCAGGAACAGTTCGTAATTGCATTGTCATCAGCAGTTGTCAAAGGCTCTAAGCTGCTTGTGCCGACATGTGCCACATGCACTCACACATGGCAGTGCCAGAAAGAAAAGTTTATTCCCGGTGGCTTATTTAAAACAGATGTGACATAAAGCTTTAAGGAATTAGTTGACACCTGACTGATCAAAGAGGATTAAGAGTTTTAATAAAGTTCTCAATGAAGTCCCATCCAGGTTCATTGATTACACATCCAGAAGTACAACTCATGTCAGCCAGATGAAAAGTCCCAAATAGTTTCAGCGTTAATGACAAATATGTATCACAATTGTAGGAGCATTTGAAAAAAGCAAAAATAATTTGTAAATATCTCACGTTGACATGGAAAGCAATGCTTTATTAATAGCAGACAATTTTAAAAATATTTTTGAGGCTATGGCAGCCCTCTTATCGTTGTTATTTTTTGCCAATTAATTCAATATTAACAAAAATCCTTTTGGGAATTTTTCTTTAAACAAATGTGTTTTTGCAACTCATTACATTTTACTTTAATTCACATTTTAAAAAACATCTCATCATTTGTGGAATCGGATTTGCAGCACGGAATGTTGCAACTAAAATAGTCTTTCTTTAATATTCACGTTGTGAAAAAACTAATGGAGACAGAAACAATTTATTGTCTTTTCAGACTATATCAGCCCAGGGAGTAGGAGGGAGAGAAAGGTCCCCACTAACTATATTTAGTATATATTGTGTTAACCATGGCTCTTCACCTGTTGGCCACATTCCTATCACATTGTTCAGGATATCCTTTCAGCACATGCAGAAACATGTTTATTTGGTGGAGGAGAGGAGAGACCCAATGCAGTGGACTTACAATTCTTGAGGTTTTTTATGGCTTTTGCTTTTTCAACTTTTTAAAGCTTTGCTTCATTTGAAAGCTGTGATTGGTCCTTTCCTCACAGTATGGTGTTGTACAGATGTATTCCCTTCACTTACTGGTCAGGCTTTTCTCCCTGTCAACAGGAATACAGCTGTTCTTCTCAACATGAAAATATCTTATCAGTCATGAAGAAAAGTTGGAAAAAGTTAAATCACCTTTAAGTTTCTCCCAAAATCCTTGATGTCATTCAGGACTGTGATGTTTGCTCCTTTAACAAGACTGGTTTATCTTCTCTTTTGCCCTGAAAGGTACCATGGAAAACATCTTCCAGTGCTTCAATAGACTGCTGAACTTCTTCAATTGTCAGGATGCACTGGATCAGTCCGGAGCTGACCGATCCGGTCTGCTATCCAGCGAAGAGAGCGATTGTGACTCACCAAACCTGCGACACAGCTTGGAGGACGATCTGCTGACCGTCTCCACTGGCATTTCAAATCCAGCCCTTGAACCAGAGCACTTTCTGTATCCTGATATCATTCTAAGCAGCAACCCAGGGGGGGAAGTAACTCTGGTGGAACCAATGGTGTGTCTTTTGGTGTCTGAAGAGGAGGAGGGGATGCTAATTGATGTGGAAGGACCTGACAGGGACAGCAGAGAGGGCAGAGAAAGCAGTTTCTCTGAGGCTGAGACCCAGACCGACACTGAGAGGCAGATCGGTATGGGGGTGCAGACTCAGACGGAGTCTCAGGCAGAGGTTCAGACAGAAGCAATGACACCCACAATTTACAATGAGACCGTGGACACCGAAGGGCACACGCTCACAAACACTGTTTATTGTGACGCGAAACCGGAAGAGGTAGACTTGGAAATCATGGGGACACAGAAAAAGGGAAAGGAAAGGACCGGCTCAGGGGACAGCCCTGACGTAAAGGCCTCCTCTGAGGAGGGGGAGTTTTTTGAGAGAATGGGCGAGAAATTCACAGAACTCCAAAAACAGTCAATGACTGTTGAAGAGGACAGCTTTAAGCTGCAGCAGAGCATCACAGCTGATCAGGTTAACCCCAAACACAACATGAATGAGGACAGTCCTGCAAAACCCAGCAGTCATTACACTGGAATTGCACAGAACTTTGAACCGGTTGAATGTTGTGAGGAGCAGAATGTGCAAAGTAATGACAGTGGAGCACAAAAGGCAGAGGCTTCTGTGCTGCCAGGAACTGTTGGAGGAAAAGACCTCCAAGACATCCACTCAGACGAGACAACAGGGGGATCCATTGGCAACTTTGACCACATTATGTGTCAAGAAGACTTATGCCAGCCAAAGAGGGAGGAGAATGACATCACCAGTGGTCTGCAACATTTTTCAGCTGCCTTGACAGCGGTGGAGAGTGATGAAGGGGCAGAGGCGAAGCAAATGACCATGTTTTTAGTCGACAGACTGTTTCTGGAAGCGCCGCATTTCACAGGTGTGTATCTTTATATACAGACGGGACATTAATATTAGCAGCAGTCAATATTTTATTCATGTTAAACGTCTTTCCACAGGATATCAAATCATGGACAAATGGCTTCAAAACAAATGTTAAACCAGAGGGGGAAAACTTTTCTATTGCATTGCAACACCTCTCTCCATTTTGGGATTTTTTCAAATTGATGCATAATTGTAACCTCATAGTCTTGTATGGTAATGTGCATAAATGTGCATAACTGTGGTCAAACTGAGTGTACCACACAGTAAAATACTGATGCATAATCTAAACAAAGTAGAAAATATGTCTATCCTTTTGTTTTGGGACATTTTAAAGTGAGCAAAAGAAGGCACTGACTGTTTAGAAGTTTAGGCACCCAATGTGATATCACGTAACTTTTACCAAAGTTTCAAACTTGAGAGCAGTTTTTAGCGGGGAGGCTTATTCATATTAAATTAATCTGCTGCCACATCCTCAAAGTGTTCGTTACAGTCAAAAGTAACATCTAAACAACAGAGAGAAGAAGTTAGAAATTCTTATTCATTAACTTCATGAGTTAGGCAATCTAGAATTTTTTTAGCAATTCACACTAATGGAAATTTTAACCAGGATGCCCAAATTATTTTATGAATCTGTCATAAGAGTAATAATTTATTTCAAATCTAATGTAGAATCTAGCTCTAAAAGATGTACCCAGTTTTCCTCTCACCCTTTTTCTACTCTGCTTCTCTGTCAACAGCAGCTTCAGAGAACCATAAGGATGATCTTGAAGAGGAGCCTGAAGATGAGAAAAGAAATCAGCTAAGTCTTCAAGACATGGCCGATCTCAAGGAGACAGACTTCACCATCAGAATTCAGTCTCCTGGAACAGAAAGTTTTGAACTTCAGGTTCTGCACCAGTCTGCATTTCCTAAACTCACTCCACAGTTTCTTTCTGTGGCTCCCGGTGAGCTCTCTGTCTACTGCCCTCTCAGGTGTCAGAGCGGATGCTGGTGGCCGAGCTGCATCAGGTTCTTATGGATCACGAGATCACCTGCCACCGCACATGCTTCTCCCTCCAGCTGGGGGGCGTCGCCCTCGACAACCTTGCTGAGCTGCGCTCCATCCCGGGCATGCAGGACGGAGCTCTCATCAAGGTAGTAGAAGGTAACTGCCTACTACTTTCTTTTTTATATCGAACTTTCTTATCTACTTTTCTTCTTACATGGAACTAGCCACAGATTTCTTTTAGTTTTCTTTATGTTTGTTTTTCCAATCTGTCTCAGATATTTCAGAGTATGACCTCTGACGCTGTTGGAAAATAGCACACATTATCACACTGCACAGCTTTGAAGAAAATAGGCAAAGAACTACAGCCATTCAAATTTACACACAACAGTCAAAATGAGATAAGCAATCAATCTATCTTCGTTTGTGTTGTTAGTGTGCAGATCTTTTCTGAATCTCTAAGTAAAATAACGCCTTTAAATCATACTTTGCATCCTGAATAGTTGAACATGTCATGAATTTCACTACATCGGATGCTTTTTAGACTGATTTTATTATATTGTGTTCTATTGTTGTTATGCAATCCAGCCTGAGGGAAAGCTTGCTTAAAACGGTATTTGCTCAAAACCCTCCTCTCGTTTCAGACTCATACTCAGTCCGTGATGTACGTCTTCATCTCAGACACGTGCGGGATCTCTTGAGGAGCCTTGATCCGACAGACTCATACAATGGTGTGAATGGCAGCTCGCTGTCTTACCTGTCCTCATTTACCAGGAGAGACGGAGGTAACTTTCTGTTGTCCAGGCTTTCCTTTTAGCAGTCCTCCCATCTTTTAAAAGTCGAACTCATCCCTTCAGATTGCGAAAATGTGGGGAAGAGGCGGACCTCCGAAAAGGTGTCTGTGGACTGCAGCCCTCCTGCTTACATCCTCCCCGGGTGCAAGGAGAGACCTCTTATTCCTCTGCACCCTGTCAAAGGTGACTGGAAGGTGGGACATGAGCCTGTGTAAATACAAATAAACAAATGTATGTGAATACTGTAAACCTGCGCGGTGCATTTGTGCCGCGCAGAGCATGAGGGGTGGTGTTGTAGTCTTTACAGTGTCTGCGGGTGCTGACCATGAGCAGCTGGAACCCGCCTCCAGGGAACAGGAAGATGCACGGGGACTTGATGTACATCCACGTCCTGACCATGGAAGACAAAGAGCTCAACATCACATCCTCAACACGAGGCTTCTACCTCAACCAGTGAGTGAAAAAACCTGCAAACACACACGGCCCAGAAATATTTGTGAATTTATTCATGTATTAGAGAAAAGAAGACTAAAATTTCAGTGACTTACCTTTTTGTTTTAGATAACTGAACTCCTTTGTGTTTGGCGCCTGTCAGAGCTTGAATGGAGTTCAACTCTGTCTACCTGGATTTTTGATTGATACGTCAGAATGAAAACTCTAAAGCCCTGAGGCATAGTGGATTGTTGACCTCTGAGACTGGACAGTGACCAAAACACAGATTTAATGGATACTGGAGGATATAAAGGTTTTAAAAGTGCAACCGTCCAAATTATTCTAAAATGTTTGACGTTCTGCCCTACTGAGCAGAGATGAAAGCCACTGGTCACAGAGGGAACCTATGGAGATAGGAACACTAGGATTAGGATAGGTGTATGAACATAAGACCTGAAGGTGAGAAAGAGGTTCATCTTCCAGCGGTGACCCAAAGAACATCAAAGTTAAATAGCCAGGAGTGACAGTTGAAAACAGGCTGAGTAATTATGTTCTGTCCAATGGGAATGATTATGAGGGTCTGCGCGAAGAAAGGAAACTTGAAAAGATAAATAACTTCACCATCCATCAACCAGAGCGATAAGTAAGAAGTAAGAGATGTATGTGGAGACTTTTTTTTAAGTTCCATTTTGTCCCAGGTCAACTGCCTTCAACTTCAGCCCCAAGCCCACAGTTCCCAAAATCCTTTGTCACTCTCTGGTCGAGCTGCTGAGTCAATTCAGCCCCGTGTTCAAGAAAAACTTCAGTGCCCTGCAGAGGAGGAGGTGAGCAAACCAGCGAATAGCATTGTAACCGTACGCCTGAGGGCCGGTAGCAACCGGGGACTCTGTCACTTGCTGTCCACCAGAGTCCAGCAGCACCCGTACGAGCGGATGGCAGCACCTTTCCCGGTGTTCAGCTGGATCGCCCCTCATGGAGACCACAGCCTTGACTGTGTCAGAGCAGAGGAGACTCACACCAGTCGAATGGGCCAGGACGAGCACACGGCTGGACAGGTTGCGAACAAACTGATCAAAACGTCTCATTGTTAGAAAATAGGCGTGCGCTGGTACATACAGTCACAGTTTAACTTTAACATTTGAATCAAAATGATAGTGTTGATGCTTGTTTGTTATGAACTCAGAGTCGGGACTGGAACGAGGAGCTGCAGGGATGCAGGGAACTCCCCAGTAACTCACTACAGGAGCGGCTACACAGAGAGAGGAGCCTGTTCAAGGTGATACCATGGAATCCTGACTTTTACCATCCTTCTGCTGCCTGTTCTCTTTCAGTGAAAGATTTAGAGCCACCCTTCTTCTTTCTCTGGGACTAGTTTGTGTTTTTTCCTCGCGCAGACCAACAGTAACTTTGTTGCTGCCGCAGCACAAGGTGCGGTGGCCGTTATCGACGGGGACGTCATGCCGCTGAACCCCGGGGAGTCGGCTCATCTGCAGATGTTCGTGTGGAACAACCTCTTCTTCAGCCAGGGGTTCGACATGTCGGAGCACTACAGGCCGCTGGGCGGGAACAGCGCCGCTCACGCTGCTCCACTGTGTGACCTGAGGGGAGCGCAGGTACTGACCTAAAAAAAAGTATAATTGTGTAGGTCTTCAAGAAAAAAAAGTGTTGCCGTCAGACCGTTGGCAGACATTGTGTTGTTGTGGCTGTTGTGGCTGTTGTCGCAGGCGTATGCATCAGTCGACACAGAGGGGCTTCACACACTTGGGACTGCAGTGGTGGACTATCGAGGTATCCGCGTCGTGGCACAGACCATCGTTCCGGGCATACTGGAGAAAAACCACGAGCAGATAGTCTACGGCTCCAATGACAATGGGAAAACAGTTTTCACACATCCAAGGTGATCCAGACGCTCACTTTCAGCCTTCTTACACTGGGAGGTGTGTCACACGTCAGTGGGGCAAAGACAAACAAGAGTATTTTGCAGGTTTCTTGAGCTTCTGGATAAAACCAGCAAACCACTGAGGATCCAGCACCACCAGGTGCTCGACCACAATGACAAACCGGTCCAGCTTTGCTCGGGCCTCTCGACCGTGGGCATCCTCGGCAATGACGGACGTCCATACATCCTGGACCTTCTGCGGACTTTTCCGCCAGATCTGAACTTCCAGTTTTCAGACACAGAGATAATGGAAAAAGTTCCAAAGGAGTGCCAGAGCCTGGGTTACCCACGTCTTCATCCTCACTGTCTGGCCAACCTGAGACGAGAGCTCATAGAGGCCTTCGTCCAGCACAGGTGAAGAGTAGGAGAATTTAAGCCAGCATGCTGGGTTTTTTCTTTAAACGCAGCATAATGAGCTGAGGTCTTTTATTCGTCCTATGTTATGCCTTTGTTGCAGGTATGAGCTTTTTGTGAAAATGGTGTCTCAGGAACTCAGTGAGATTGGCAAACAAGATGAAACCAAAGAGCAGAGTGAGGGGCCTGAACATGGACCAGCAGGCACTGACGACGCAGGTAAATAAGGCAACATAACTCGGTATGTTCACTGAATAAGGTTACATAACCGATTATATACGTGAACTGCCTCACTACAGAAAGAAGATTAAACAGAGTAGCAGATGCTGAAGGAATTCAAACATTCAAACGTGTCGTTTTTAATTTTTTGAGGAATTATTTTAGCTAAAGTGTTCAGTAAAGCACTGTGCAATTCTGAAATGGTTATTTTTCATAAGCGTATTGCTACTTTATCAAGTGACAAAAATATTTTTCAATCGTGGCTGCATTTATCAAACACTTTGAAAGTGGACATTTGAAAGTTAGAATTTGTTTTCCAAAAGGATGCTTTATAAGAACATTTACTGATTCCCACAGATTTCTTACAGACTATGTGTTAGTGAACCTGTAGCTAGTCAAATGTTTTTAAGAAGTGTTCAGAGCTAAAGGATCATGGACAGAAATATCATCGACTTAAATCAAAGTTTACACACCTATATATGTCGGCTGTTTTAAAAAAAATCACACTGACCAAAGGGGTGTTTTTGTGATTATAACAGTTCAAACATTTTTTTTTGTAGAACTCCAGAGGAAGAACGTGATCATGAAAGCCTGTAAAGCTGTTGGATCAATCAGTGACTCCTGCTTTGACATTCGCTTCAACCCTGATATTTGTTCCCCAGGTACTGAGCACACACACACACACACACACACACAGACGTAGACCCAGTCAGAGTTGTGCAGTTAAATGTGTACTTTTGCTTTTTGCAGGAGTTCGTTTCCCCTCTGGTTGTGACGAGGAGCTTCAGAGTCACATACAGCTGATTTGGGACGCGGCTGCTTTTCTGCTCTCGAACCAGATTCCTGCAGCGGTGAGTCATGGGACCCTTTTCATTTTTACCTTGAAGTTGTTTTATCATAAAAAAAGATCCAAAGTTCTCTTACATTGGAAGAAAATTACAATACAGGCGATTGGAAGTATCTGATTTGTTCAATTATATAACCATAGAACAGTTTCTGTAAAAAAATGTCTCACTCAAAAGTTAAGTCTTCAGCAACACGAATCCAAAAAATATGAGCTTTCTGATCTCTTTCTTCTTTTTGTGAGAGTTGTCCTTGACTAAAAGCTCATCTTTGGTGAGTCATGATAGGACTAATAAAGTTTACTTCTGCCAAGCTTGTGAAATTTAAGATGTGTGTGTGTGTGTCTCATTTTGTGTGGCAGCTGCAAGACTGCCTGGAACACACAGCAGTGCCAATGGATGGCGCCACTCTGACTTCAGTGCTGCATCAACGGGGTGTGAATGTCAGATATTTGGGTACCATCATGCAGAAACTGGAGGAAATGGAGGAGCGCGTGAGACTGAGCCACATTCAGGTTGCTACTCGATAAAACTGATGTTATCCACGACGTCAAGCACTGAAACAACCTTGACAAGCCTTCCTTGCCAAATGAATAATAAGATGTCTCCTCACAGAGAATTTCTATGAGTGAAATCATCATCAGAAGTACGAAACACATCTTCAGGACGTATCTACAGGTGCAGTTAAAGTACAAATATGTTTTTTTTAAATACTTTAAAATCTGGCTTTGGTTTTCTATCCTCAACGGCTGTTGTGGCCTTCGCAGAATGTGGAACCTGCAGCTTTCTCAGCAGCTGTCAGTCACTTTCTGAACTGCCTCCTGGGCTCCTCGGTCTGTTTGCCTGATTCCGGCTCCGATGAGCTCCTCTCCCGTCGAAGGAGCCGTCGCCGCAGGAGTCACGGCGGTCGAGCTGGCTCCTTACCAGACGGCGTGTGGGTGAAACTGAGTGCCGCTGAGCTGTGGAGCAGGATTAGGGCCGAGGCAGAAGATTATTACCACTACACGGTCAACAGGTTCGTGTGTGCCGCATGCATGGGGTTGTGTTTGAGTGGCGCGGGATTTTACGCACTCTTCCCCGTCTGTGTTCAGTGAAAGTCTGGATGAACTGATACAGAAGCACAACCTGCAGAGGATTTCCCTTCTGAGAGAGCTCGCCATCAAGACAGGCATCCAGGTGAGACATCCACCAAGCCACTATTTTGAATTAATTGGCACATGAAATTATACAAGCTTGAAATTTATGTCATCCAGATATTTTCCAGAATCCAAAATCATATGTTGGTCTAAAAGAACAAGCTACCCTCATCTTAAACTATATCTTTCAGAGCTTTTGCTCACTGCTCCTTAGATATCTCTTTGACACAAAAGTTTCTGTTTTTATATTTGTTGTCTTGGAAATTTTCATTGACGCAACAATAGATATGAGAGCAGGTTGCTGGTAAAGTATTTAAGGATACTATGTAATATTCACTTTGTTTTTTAGACGTACACATCTCTTGCTCGTTCCTTAGAAGACCAATTCTGTTTGAATGATTGAATGTTGGAATCACAGTTAATTCATTTTAGTGTAGGTTTAAAATGCATCTGATCCACTCTGTCTGACTGTGTCTTTAGGTGCAACTGAGAGAGTACGTGTTTGACTCCCGACACAGGCCAGTGTTTGGGGAGGACGACATCATCAACATGTTTCCTGTCTTCAAGCATCTCAGACCTACATCGGCGGACGCCACGCGGCTCGTGCAGCAGGCACAGCTGGCAGTGCAGCAGGGTGAGAGCCGTAGACAGAAATACAAACTGTGGGGATCATTATGTGCTGCACAAGTTCAGTCTGCAAAATGTGAGTAAGCATTGTCACTCCATTATCGAGAAATGTCACGAGGTGTTGGACTTTTAATTATATAAGCCGTGTTTTAGATTCGGAAAGATACTTAGCCCTGCTCTCTCTAACGCTACAGAGCACTGTTGCCAAGCAACAACAGCAAAAGTACTGTTCCCGACATATCTGATGTCCGTTGGACTTCAGTGAGTTCCGGAAACACAACAATGGAAACTAACTTCCTCTGATGGGCATGAGGAAGTTTGAGCCAACAACATTCACATGCACATTAAGTTTACTGCAGGGGTTGCTGTTGTCCGCTCGCTGCACTGCGAGATAATTGTTTGAAGCAGTACCTCAAAACTATGGTGCAGGACTACACCCACAGCCCTTACTGTGTTCTAAATGTAGCCTCAGTAGTCTGAGTGGGAAAATCAGGAATTTAACAGAGCCGCAGGCTCAAAACCCAACAAATGACTTCCCTGTGCAGAGGAAGAACCCTGGATGTTGTCTACTCACACATTTAAAAAGAAAAAAAAAGATTTTGGGACAAAATGACTATCCTCTCGATGTGTGTGATATGCACATGGCTTTGTATATCCACTCTGATCTTGATACCTATCCTGAAAGTTAACAATTTTATGGATAACAGTCCATGTGTGCACCTAATATGTGTCAAGTGTTGAAAATGGTTATGTGTAAGAGTTAAGTGCATTTCTTGATTTTGCTTTACAGGGCTTCTTAGAGATGGTCATGAACTGATCGGCCAGGCCCTGACTCTGTTCAGCAGCGTGTGTGGGATCCTGCATGAGGACGTGTGCACGTGCCTGCGTCTCTTGGGACGGCTCAGCTATGTTTTGGGTGAAAACGCTGATGTAAATACACACGACAAATCTTCTCTGCCATAATGTTTGTCTATCCTTAACTGGCCGCAGTTCTTCTCTATCATCAGCCTTATCTGGGTTTGTGAAACTCATATTCTGAATACCACCTTGATGAAGAAAGAAAGAGTTCAATGTTGTTTCTTTCGTGTCTCAAAGGCCCTCAGCTACCAGGAAAAGGCAGTTATGGGTTCTGAGAGAGTACAAGGTGTAGACCACCCACAGACCATACAAGACTATGTGAGTTACACACGTCCGCAAATAGCTTGATGAGATAAACAATGATCCTGCTGTTTAACATTTTACTCCCCATAATCCAGATATTTTTGGCCCTGTACTGCTTTGCTGGAGGCTGCCACTCAACCGCCCTGCAGCTGCTGTATCGTGCACGCTACCTCACTCTGCTTGTTTCTGGAGACGATCATCCACAAGTAGCACTGTTGGACGTAAGCATCGCAAACTGCCCCTATTTTTATCTTAGCCTTACTGTCTGTGGCTATCAGTTCCTGATGGTTTTAGATTTTGACAAACTCGTAAGGTTATGATAGAGTTGGTTCTTGCTTTGTTTAATTCAGTCCCTCGGTATGGACCCTTCTGAGGTCCATAAAATATCCAACAAATGAAAGTTAAATTAACAGATATTTCTTAATATATACCTGAAAACACGCAAAAACAGAAAAAAAATTGTATTCATTCATTTTGGAAAAAACATTATGTTGATGAAAAAATGCAAGAATCTGAAAATCAGATTGTGTTTTCTGTCTGGAACGGGTTAGCTAGTCATTATGTAACATTGATGTACACAATTTTCAGTATTTCTATATCTGCAATTGTAATACTTTACACATCTATTTAATAATGCTGTAAACAAATCCAAGGTACAGCAATTATTTATATGCAGTTCAGCTAAAAGTAAAGCCCATAATATCTCTGAAATGCCCCTCATCTGTCATTGCTGATCAAACTATAGCAATTATGGTAATTAATAATAAAACCTCCCAAATCATGTTCTGTTTCAAGACTTTTTTTAACCCCTTTGGAAATGAGCAGTAAACATTTGTTGGTATTCGTATTTCATCAGGTCATCTTCACTGTTATATGTGCAGACCAGTGTTGTTACAGTCACACTTCCCTTCTTTTAATATACTTGTTGTGCTCCACCATAACAGAGCATGCTGGGTCTTTTACTTTATGGACTGATGGAATATGAGCTATCGATAAAGTACCTGCAGAATGCCTTAAATATGACATCAAAGTACCATGGTGAAAGATCCATGAACCATGCACAGAGGTACGTATGGCACCTTGTCTTCATGTTGTTCTTCAGGTTCCTCCTCACTTCTGCATCTGTCTCTCTGTCCTTGTCGCAGTCATCATCTGCTGGCCATCGTAGATGAGAGTAAAGGGGAGTTTCGGTCAGCTCTGCAGCACGAGAAAGAGGCTTATTCGATATACAAGAGCCAGGTATGCTTCGAAATGCTGGCTGCTCTGTGTGTTGATTTCCTGCATTATGCTCATGACTTGACCTGTGTCACATTTCAAAGGTTGGTGAGAACCATGAGCGTACAAAGCAAAGCTCTGAGTACCTGAAGCATCTCACTCAGCAGGCGGTGATCCTTCAGAAGGCCATCAACCACCTTTACAATGACAGAGCAAGTGCCTGCACAGCAGCTCCAAAGGTTGGCAGCTTTGCAATGATGAGAACAAAAGCATTCAAATCAGCGTAGGTTGTCATTAAAATCTTATCATTTTCCTTATGCAGTTTTCCACACCAAACCTTCCTGATATCCTTCATCAGCTCAACCTGACATGTGGAATTATTCTGATCCCACTCAGGTAAACACAGGAGCAGCTTTTTAATCGAAGTAATCTCTAATGCTGTGGCTTTGGTGCTCATTCCATCTTCGTTATTCTGATAAAAGTGAAATGTGCTTTAAAGTTACACCACTTATCTTACCTGTATGTCTTTCTTTTCAGTGCAAAAGAATTTGCTGACCTGAGGAATGAACTGAGAGGAAAGGAAAAAGTCACAGTAGAAGAACTGGAAAAACAACTTTTAAGGCAAAAAGGCCCAAAAAATGATAACGACAGATGAATATATTTAACTTTGGACTAAAGTTGCAGTATTGCATTCTTGCATAATGTGAACATAGACACAAATAAACAAGAATAAGTGGTGTACATTAACATAGATTTTTCTTTGATATATAGGATCTATGACAAAATATTTGTAGCTTATATTCAGAATTCCTCACCCCATTTTTTAATGACAAAAAAAGCATGATGTCACATTTCAAATGTTGTCTGTTGAATAAACAATCACAGTTTGTTTCAGATTCATTGTGAACTAAGACAAAAATAAAAGGAATGCTGTGCTTAAAGTTGAAATCTCTTGATCTTTAAGATTATGTGCCATCACCTTGCAATCCTGTAAACGTCCACAGGGTTTCACACTTGAGCTGTGGGGTTTCCTCTTAACACATTTAAGTCTGATTGATTTTTTATATATTGTTATCAGGCTGAGGGATAAATGTTTTGGAAGTTTAGTCTCAGGCAATTATGTTTTAATTGACATTATGATCAGCAATAGCCATGATGAAGCGAAAAAATATACATTCACTTCGCCGTAGTATGTGAGAAAAAGTTATTAAATGACAAATGAAAATGTAAAGATCCAACTTTAAGTTAGTGTTATATAAAAAGATGTTTGACCATTTAATAGAGTGATACCAAATCTAAATGAATACATGAAATACTTTTTCAGTGTTCTTTACAGCTGAGCATCTGAATAAATACAACCATAGAAAGAGTACGGTTTTCCTTTTTTTTTTAGTTCAGATTCCACAAAAAAACAACAGCATTTTGTACTAGAATATTGAACCTTTGCAAAAGAATGGGTACTTCCACACCATTCTGAGTTCCCCTTAAATGTATTCATTTTGAATATCTGAAACGATTTTAAAACCATAAATTAAGATTTCTTTGTTCTGCTAAATCAGCCAATAAACCACACTGAAGCAGGTAACAAGTTAGCCGAGCCAATTCTACTCAATCTAAGGTTTTTTTTTCAAGCAGCTGTTTTCAGTTCAAGTGCACATGTGGAACTTCGCCCTCTTACACATTGCAATCACTTTCTTAAGAAAAAAACTAAAACTTATTTTTACATAAAGAACAGCAGGCAAAAATATAAAATGTCAGATGTGAATATGCAGACAGGAGTGAATACATTTGAAAAAAATCATTTCATCAGGATATATCATACCTCACTGTTTGATTTCAAATTTTGGATGCAATTAAAATGAAAAAATGAAAAAAGAAAATAACCTTTGTGGTTGTACTGTAATCTGATTACATTTTCCCCTCCTCAAATGATACACTGTTTATTTTACATGTACACAATTGCAGAGATTTGAATCTGGGACTTTTTTTGTTTTATTCCACCCTGAAATATAAATAAAACATCAGAAGTTGGGCCGCACAACAGCAAAAAAATAGATAAGAATAATAAAAGTGTCAATAGTTTTTCTAGAGTATTTTTCTTTAAGTACAAGGGCGTGTTTTTTGCACGTCGCGCGCCACCACCCACCACGTGCGCGCCGCCGATATCCACTCGCGACCGTTAGCCGGGGCCGGGCGAATGCAGTGGTACCGAGAGGAGAAAATCTGACCGTCCGCACCGGCTGATGTGAAAAGTCACGATAGCGCATCAAGACCAGAGCTTCGCATTTCACACTTACAGCTGTCAATGGGATATATGATGGGCCATGTGTAAAAAAGGTAGGCTCTCGGATATGACACGAATCTTTACTTTTGTTGGGGCACTTAGCGGGACTTGTTATTTTGACGACGATTTGCCTGCAGTGTCTGCGCTTACTCGTTTCGTCTCTCAAAATGGCGGAGAGGCCGAGCGCTAAGCTAATCGTAGTGGTGTATTTGTCATTGTGAAAACCACCACCGTAAAGACAGAACGTTACGTAAAAAGGCCGAGTGGCTTATTAAAACGAGCTATGTTTGATGCAAATGTTGATTTATATACAACTATACGGCCCACGATCAAGATGGCTTTAATCGAAAGGCTCGTTGCGAAGCTTAGCTGGACATTTGGCTAACGTTAGCTACGCCTATTTATGGAAGTTCTGTTTGGATGAGCTAACGTTGTTTCAGTCGGCCAGGTTAACACGGGCACTGTCATAGCCTAAAGCAACATTTAGAATTTGCAAGCAAACTTAATTCGTGTCTTAAATGGTAAAACATCTATAGCGTTAAGCTCAAACAGCATCGTTTTTTTCAGTTTAGTACAGGTTGTATAATCTGTCTCGGCAGTGATGTAAATCAAACTTGCGTCTCTAATCACATTTCACCTATTAGCCTGTAGAATAATTTCTTTATAGGTTTGACATGTTGATCAAGCCGTTGTCAAACAAACATCTGTTAGTTTTGTTAAAATGGAGACTGTGGTGGTATAAATGCAGTGTGCACAAACTGACAGCCCAGCGTTCCCATGCTAAGCTAACATTAGCAGGAAAGGGCGTTGCTGAGCCATTGCTGCAACTTTGCCCTTGTGCCCCTGAGAGCTTAGAAACACGCCAGATGTTTATCTCTAAATTATTCACAATGTATGGAAATGCATTTAGCTTATTTGTATTGTTATCGGGTATGCCGCAGGCTAATTCGAGGAATTAGATTTAGGGTGGAGACCAGAAGGGGTCAAAGTGAAATACTGAGACAAAACAAAGTATACAAATAAAGAGATTTACAAGACAGTCTTGTGTACTAAATCACAGTAAATGAGTGCTTGGTGAGGACTGCTGCTGGCATGTATGTGCAATAGGCAGGCATCCTGTCTGCGGAAGGTGTTCCAGTGAGGACTTTTCTCAGCTACTTGTCATCAAACTCATTCATTCTTTTATTATTTTACAAACTGCTTGGACATTTGCAGCATCATCCTAAATAGCAAGGTTTTTCAAATTGAATGGGAAAGAGAAGGAAAAAAAAAATTTTCAACGACAATTAAATGTGCTCAACAAATTCAAAACAGCATACTGAAGCAACAAAAAGTCAAATGTTCTTTTTCACCTTTTTCTTTATTCCTATTTGCTCTCATTTGTGAAGCAAGCAAAAGACATTTGTGTTCCCGTCTGTCCATCTTTGAACACTGGCAGTTGTGAGGTTGTTCTTAAGCCTACAGTTTGCCCTCAGTCCAAACATGCTAACCAGACTTTGCTTATCTGTTCTGTGTGCACATGAACACCATCAAAGACGAGGCTGGTTGTTCTCTGCATAGTCTTATGCCAGTTTTGTCCCTTATTCTGTGGCCAGCATTATATAATTCAATGACAAATTTTAGTATTTATGACAATAGTACAATATGAATTCTTTATTTAAGTATTAAATTGAAAACTATTTAATGTCTGTTTTGATGTTCTATCACTCTAATCTTGACTCTTATCATTTGCTAACACAAGAGCAGTATGTGTTATTAAAAGACAGAGTAACCTTTGAATTCTTAGATATGGTGAATTGGATGATGTAATAAATAGTACAGGCTATCCGTTTAGATGAAACCATCTTCTTTGACTTTATGGTTTGACAGTCAGTATTGCCTTGGTTTAGCTGGTGTCAGCAGTTAATTGTTTGGCTTTAGGTCAGCTTCGAGAGAGAAGCTACTGCTCCGTAGAGTGTTCTATTATCTGCCTGTTTTTTCATTGCAGAAATCTTGAATAACTGGAATAAATGCCTATCGGTTGAAGCTGAAGATGATTAGTTTGAGTCACCTTTATGGCCCACTTGACGCCGCCTATGTCAGAAAAAGATGAGGCTAAGTTGACGTCACTCTGAATATTGCTGCCTGATGGGGGGCTGAGTCATCTCCGCACTTTTTTTTTCAATTTCACAGTAAACCAATCATATGCTTCTGGTTAGAGCAGGAGAGACCGGCATACTGGGATAATGGGTCGCTGCAGGGAGTCTGTCGTGTTTACTATTTTAATCTTCTTCACCAGCATCTAGTATTGAACAGAATTATGAATTACCATCCCTGTTCTCTTAGATACATTTAAGGTATGTTTATGGATGTTCCAAGTCCCATAGATATGAGGCAAATATTAACATCTAACACCAAACTATTTATAGTACCAACACAGATTCTGAGATATAGGAAAAAAGTTCTATGAAACTTCCATCTGTTTATGGTTTCCTGAAACCAAACACTAAAAATATGTCAGCACTGAGATACTTAGGTGAAGATCTTATCATTGAACTCCAACTTATGTATCAATAAATGAATAGTTTTTCTAATGCTTTATTCTAAAATGTGTGAGCAAGCATTCAGCATTTGTTGTTTTATAGGAGGAATGGCCTGTGAGCTCCGTCACTTGGGCAGTAAGCTCATGTTATTTGCCGTAGATGAGCGCTAACTTTTCCTTCTTGATGTATGGCTGATCATGTGTCATGTGTTTGGCACTAAGCCCAGACAAACGCATAACCATACAGTGTGTGCATGTACCCAGTTCTTTGCTCACACTCACTTGTTTATTATTCCCTGCCTTTATGCAAGCGTTCCTTTGAGACGGCCGTTATGAAGCAGTGTATGAAGTTCAGGTGTCTTAAGCAGGTGCAAAAGCCACCGAGATTGCCTTTGTTATGTAATGGTTGGAGGTTGGCCCGTTTGGTCAAAAGGATATTTTTGAACCACATAGACAGTTCTGCTCAGTCCTTACAATCACTGTACAGAAACTCATGGCTGCTTGACTATATAAAGCCACAATTGCACTGAAACAAAATGTTCATCCCTATGTAAGATAAAATAAGGGGGGTGGGGGAGGATAATCTTTAATTTCTGTTGAAGTAGGCTTCAGGTTCTCCTTTTAGCTGGACAGTGCAATGTACAGACAAAGGCAGCATCCACTTACGGTCCTCTCTTCATGTCTGGTGTTAATCCTGTTAGCTGCTGTCCAGTCCGTCCCTTACATTGCACCGTCAGCTGTACGGAGGACTTGTGGTCTCTGTCACTTAGAGACACGCTCACACAAAGACTTGTGTTGTCTGGCCCGGCTGCTAAGCAGCTTAGTGCTTTTGCAGACCCAGACTCCAGCAGAGTTGAAGCTCAGGAAGTGAACACTTTTGTTAGCCTCGAGTCACTGAATGGTGTGCCTCAGTTTTCATCTGTACCCTTTATTTTCAGAATAAAACCGTAAAGGGGAGCGTACTTCAACTTGGCGAGAAATACTGTCACCTCCAACGATAAAGATGTTTTGATAGGACGGTAGCTGTTGTAAAGTCCTACAGGAAGGAATGGCAGAATCAGTTCTCAGGTACTTTTCTAAACTGAGATTAGTAGCATAGTAGACAGTCGTGTGTAATGGTTTCAGACAGACATGCTGCCCTGTATCTGACACACAGCTGAACACTGTGCAAAATCAAATGACAACTAAATTCAATTAATCTGGGCATGTTTTGGAGGAAGAGCCTCTTAAGTGTATTGGATTCGTCCTAATTAAACTGAGACTGAAGTGCTGCCAACATACCTGACCAACAGCATTACTGAGAAAGTACTCGTTTATTTTAAAGATGGGTTGGGCTGTCCAAGCTTTATTTCTAAATGTTCCATTCCTCTGTATTCCTGTTAAGGTAAGGTTCCTGTTGTTCTTACAGAAAGTTATTCAGGAGCCATAATTGATTAACAGCATAGCATACTTTATCTAGTTTTTCTTTACAAATCTATTTATATGCATCTCAGTGACTTCCACACATAATGTAATGTCAAATCATATTATTTCCTTTTTTATTTGTGATCCAATTCAAATCAGTCGGAATTCCTTTTAGTGCTCTAAAAAACAATCAGAAATCCGACTTTAGCAGTTAGAGCTGCAATGTCTTTCTTACTACTAGTCCATTAATTGTAGTAATGGCTCCTCAGAGTCACTTACCCTGTCTTTATTTGTCTGTAGAGTGCAGGGATGGTCCTTTTTATGCTTTGAAGATTCTGCTGTTGCTCTGGGGGTCTTCACCAGTGAAAGAAAAGTTCCTTGGCTATCAAAGTTGCCAGACATTTGATGATCTCATCCAATTCTGATTTTGAGGGGAAATGTTGATGCCGCCTTATCATTCCTTGGTCTTTAAATAATTTTATCAAACTTGTTATTTATTGAAAGATTCTGTCACTTTCATCATTTGTTGCTAGCATCTCCATAGCATTTTACATACCATACCACAGTGTCATTAGCAAAACGTTGGAAAACTTTAAAGCTACAAGTACTTTATTTTATTTTACTGCAGCTGAACTTAAGGTAAAGATACAGCTCTAAGCTACTTGTTCAGAAAAAGCAGAAAAATCACCAGTGGATGATCATCTACCCTTCATTTGGGAGCTCCAATGTTCTATCCATCTGTTGAGAAACTCGTCCATATCTGCATTTTTCATTCAAAATTTCCACAGTGTTGTCTGGAGATGTACATATACGCACACAAATAAATTAGGCGTTTTCAGAAACTCCATTTCAAAGTGGAGTGACATTTGCTTACTTTTTTCTGTTTCTTGTACTGACTTGTCTTGTACGCTCTCGGGTAGCGCAATTTAAACCCCTTTTTTCCTCTCTCCATCAGGTGATTGGCGCATCTGAGTCGCGAGTGACGTTTGGACCTCTTTGATTACTTGTGGAGTCCCGCCCTGCTTAACAGCAGTACCTCCAGGTCCAGTCTTTGTGGTGGAAAAAGAAAAGCTCACATCACTTAGAGACAGGACTACACCCCACCACGTGCGTCCCAGGCAGACTCCCTGACATCACCTCGTCCTCGCCTCCCTGAGAGGGAGAGAACAGCAGCCGCCATGGTGCTGTCACAGAGACAAAGAGATGAACTGTGAGTGCCCTTATGTGTTGGAAAGCAAGCTCATTGCAGACAGGAACAGACCTGTACACTAAACCACGTGCTGATGAAGAGGAATGCTTTTGCTAAAATGCGCATACATGTTGAATTTTTCATTAACAATCCCACCAAGTTTCACTACAAGAACATTACATTACAAATTCCCATGTACATATATGTGCATTACATAGTATATTTTGTGTTTGATCATGGTGGTGCAGGTGATGTGAGGGAATTCTCCACTTGAGAATGTGAAATCAATAAGGAAGAGTTGTGAAGAGATGTGAGCTTCAAGGTGCTTCACTTGATAGCTGCTTGGTGAATATTTCATAACCCACATGACAGGAGCAAAGAAGTGCGGGGGATGGGTAAGGAGGAGGAACTTAACAAAGTGATGGCTGGTTAATGTGAGCATCTCCGCAGCAGTGGTTACTGCCTGGATTATCGTATGGCATGCAGCGGGTTCCAGATAAAATGAATACAATAAAAAAAAAAAAAAACTTGATTAAAAAGTAACAAGTGGCATTGCTGTAGAAAGTCTGCAGTAGCTATGTTCTGATTGGTGGGAAAAAGGTTCTTTTTCAGGATGTATCTGGAAATGTTGGTCTGATCTGATAGGTGAAGCCTGCATCAGACAGCTGAATCAGGGTTACATTTATCAGACATTTGAGGAGCCCCGAAGCTGTAACCTGACTTTAGCGTCATTATTCATGAAATATTTACCCTGCATTCTGTTAAAGTCCCACTATTTATATAATTTGGTGCGCATGGATGTGTGTGCATATTTGAGGTTGTTTTTCTGTGTTGGCGGGTTGCTGTCTCTCTGTCATCCAGCTCAGGCCTCTGGTTTCCATAGCAGCACAGGTCACTGTTTTCCAGTGATGCAGCCCATATATTTTACATTCCCTTTCGAAGGGCTGTAATTTATTTTGGCATTTACTCAAATTGTGTGACATTTAAGGTGGAAGAGTTAAACTGAAGCCCAATCACTTCCATCTGTTGGATAGGGTGTGGTCTCCCAAATTTTAAGGAGGAACTCACATTTCTGTTAAGGTGGAGCTCATGTTGACTGTACGGCTTTGACTGTGTGATTATTTAATTCCATGATGTGAGACTTAATTGAAATGACATCACCACTGAAATGTTAGAGAACGCTATTTGTGATGAAACCGCATCACAGCCCTGTACCAAATCAGTTTTATTGCATTGATTCTCCCCTAGAAATCGTGCTATAGCTGACTATCTTCGTTCCAATGGATATGAGGAGGCCTATTCCACCTTCAAGAAAGAAGCGGAATTAGATATGGTAAGAGACAGATATACAAAAATGGTAACGGAATCACAACTCAGCAGAGCATTTTTTTTGTGAACAATGAAAGTGAATCCCATTCTCAGTGTCTGTCTTTACTCTGATTGCAGAATGAAGATGTAGATAAGAAGTATGCAGGACTTTTGGAAAAGAAATGGACCTCAGTTATCAGATTACAGAAGAAGGTAAGGAATGCCTGCATTTACCATTCAGTGATTAAGAAAAAAAAGAACTTCCCTTCTTCTCTGTCTGGTTTGGGCTAGCTTTGTACTAGCCCCTGTCATAATGATTTTATTTTACATTGTTTTCATTTTCTTGAATATCAAACAGAATAAAAGATAAATCTTCATCCGTACAGTTGTTTAAAAAAAGTAATTTCTTGGTGTGTCGCTGAATCTCCACTGATCTGGGAACAAAAAGTAAATTTATCTTAAAGTTTCTGTAAACTTCTACAACTTTTTTTCTCAAATTAGTTTGCTACCAGCTTTCTTTACCTGTCATGCTGACACAAGCTAAACTAAACTTCCACCCAGGGTCAGTTTGGGTTTGTTTTTGGCAATAATGGGCCACTGTGAAAGTCCTGTGTTCACTTGACACAGATGAGAAGACAGGGGCATCGTTGTGACATTGAATGTAGCACAATGGCACTTTAATGCTGGTTGCATTGTTTTCATTATTGTTGAAGGTCATTTTTGTATGCAAAACTAAAAATCTGTTGTTCACATGGATATTATTGTAAACTGTCTGCCTCCAAATGAGACTGACAGCATTAGCTCTCTATTGTTTTTTTGTTTTGTTTGTTTTTTTGTGTCAAATGTGGCTTAGCATAGCTAAGACGCGTTTTGCTCACTGATTCTGCTTTAGGTTATGGAGTTGGAGTCGAAGCTGAACGAGGCGAAGGAGGAGATGACACATGGAGGACCTGTGGGCCAGAAGAGAGATCCGAAAGAGTGGATCCCCCGTCCCCCGGAGAGATATGCCCTGAGTGGGCACCGTGCCCCAGTCACGCGGGTCATTTTCCACCCCGTGTTTTCTGTCATGGTCACAGCCTCTGAGGATGCTACCATCAAGGTGTGTGTGTCATGTTGACACAGTTTATCTTAACCCTGACCCGGCATTTTATTTGGCTTGTCCACTTCACAGCCCTGCTCATTCATTTTAAGAGAATGTCGCTTTTCGCATCCAGTTTATGTTTAAACTGTCGTCTCACCTTTTTATTCTATCAGTGCCAACTACATGATTTATTCATTCATCTACTGTTAGAATTTCTAAATCGAGGTGGCATATCTGGGAACTCTGTGTCTGTGTATGGTGGAATAAAGGCTGGAGTGCTCACAATTTTGGAAAAATGTTGAAAATAAGCCCGCAAGCGTTTTTCAGTTGTGGCTGCGTGCAGTAGCATTTGTTAGCTAAATCAGTGAGCACTGCAGCACACCACAACGCTCTCTCTGCAGCTCTGACCCTTCAGATCAAAGCTGTACTGCAGATCTGAGGCTGCTCTCCTTTTACCCCCACCCCACCCCTGCCTTCTCCCTCTTTTCCTCTCCCTGTGCCTCCTCCTTTTTTCTGCTTTGTCACAGCTCAGCTATCTGGAGGGGCTGATGATTCTATTCCTCGGGCCTGTCGAAAGCAAAGATTTGTTGTTCCACCCTAAATGTTTTAATGGGTACTTGTTATGAAAGGCTTATTTAGAATGAAATAAATAAAAAAAAGAATGAATTGACACACCTTTTTTGTCTTAAAGAGAGGTTCAGTTTAGTATTGAATTAAAAAAACAAACGTTTATGACCCAAAATGATGACTCTGTGTTGCTGAATGTAGATTTGACCAGTTTAATTTCTTCTCTCAGTTAAAGTGCGTTAGATTGTGGTTGAGCACTGAAAATGTGTCTTATTGTTATTTCAGGTGTGGGACTATGAGGCAGGAGACTTTGAGCGAACGCTGAAGGGCCACACAGACTCTGTGCAGGACATTTCTTTTGATCAGACAGGAAAGCTGCTGGCCTCATGTTCAGCTGACATGAGCATCAAACTTTGGGACTTTCAGGGGTTCGAGTGCATCCGAACAATGCACGGTGAGAAACTTCTGCTGAGATGAGAATGGCTACAGTTGATGAGAAGCTGCTCAAATGGTTTAGCTAATGAACAACGTTAGCCTTCTTTAATTTGTCTGCTGTGTTCATTGCATGAATATTCCCTCTAAATAGTGACTGATGGGCGGGGTCTCGTATCCATGTAATGAAATCTGATTTTAAAATCTTTCACTTCAAATCATGCCAACAGAATCATTGGTACTGATTTTGAGCTTTCAGTCCCACTATGATAGCCTTTACTGTTTTTAAGGCTTGGTGTTGTTCTTTTTTTGTGTACCGTAATTGCAAACAACATTGACCACACCTGACAGATCTTCAGCATCAGAACTAAAAGGTTGGCCCTGTCTTCCAGGTCACGACCACAATGTGTCCTCTGTAGCCATCATGCCAAATGGAGACCACATAGTGTCTGCTTCCAGAGACAAGACCATGAAAATGTGGGAAGTGGCTACTGGGTAAGTGGAGGGGGGTTAAACTATCTACCACAGACTACTAGATGTTTAGATAGTATGATATATGCCACAAATGTTTTTCTTCTGTTTGAAGTTCCATATCCATAACTTGTTTCCGTGATCTCAATTTGAACCTTTTGATAGTATTTATTATGATTGCTCTTTTTCTTAATGTGTGGTTTGTTTGTTTCCCACCTGTAGGTATTGTGTGAAGACATTTACAGGCCACAGGGAGTGGGTGAGGATGGTTCGCCCCAATCAGGACGGCTCGCTGCTTGCCAGCTGCTCCAACGACCAGACGGTTCGTGTCTGGGTGGTGTCTTCAAAGGAATGCAAAGCAGAGTTGCGGGAGCATGAACATGTGGTAGAGTGCATTGCCTGGGCCCCCGACAGTGCCCACCCCACCGTCCTGGAAGCTACAGGCTCAGAGGTAAATATCACTGCTGCAGGATCAGGCTTTTACACGAGCCCGGACGTATTTATAGTTCAGTGTGCAGACAAGCTGGCAACGGTCGGGGTGTAAACGTCAATACCGACTGACTGGAATAATGATATTTAGTAGGTCTTCACAGTGCCTGTGTGATCGGATTATTACAGGGTTTAAATTATCCAGAGGTCTCCTCTTTTTCTTTTTATTGCTTCTTTTTCTTGACAATTTGCATTTGAGTCAAATGCTGTTTGTCACATCTCCCCCCTATCGGTGTTTTCCAGAGTAAGAAGAGTGGGAAACCTGGTCCTTTCCTTCTCTCTGGTTCCAGAGATAAAACGATTAAGATGTGGGACGTCAGCATTGGGATCTGCCTTATGACTCTGGTGAGTAATAGGAGTGAGGGTTAATGTGACAGCCTGGCTGCCGCAGCCGCAGAGTGACGGCTTTGATGGGTAATTGCCTTTTTATGTCTTTTAGGTGGGACATGACAACTGGGTGCGTGGGGTTTTGTTTCATCCTGGAGGACGCTTCATCGTGAGCTGTGCTGATGACAAAACCTTAAGGATCTGGGATTACAAAAACAAACGCTGCATGAAAACCTTGTGTGCCCATGAACACTTTGTTACCTCTCTGGGTGAGATGCAGTCGGCGCCGTGCACACGTCCCACATCACTGGGACATGCCGTTACCAGCACAGAATGTTTATCCCCTGCTCTTTGTAGTCCAGATTAAACTCAAAATTCATCTTTTATCTAACCTTTTTCTTTCTTTTTTTTCGTCTGCAGATTTCCACAAGACTGCCCCGTACGTGGTCACAGGCAGCGTGGATCAGACAGTCAAAGTCTGGGAGTGCCGCTGAGACCGTCTCCACCTCCTCCCCTGCCCTGCTTCCCATCAACTCCCCAAAATAAGTCCCCGATGCCCCCATCCTACCCCACTCTGTCCTGCACCTTTCTCCCTCTATTCAGACGCCCAGTCCAGCCCCTCAACTCTCGCACTCCAAACCATAGTTGACCAAGCCGCTTTACCTTTTCCTCGCTTCCCTCCTCTACATTGGTCCAGCCCTATTAAGATGACTATTGTCCTTTTTGTGTAAATTATTCTGGATGTAGGGTACGCTTAATAAATGTCACGCAATCTCTGACACATACACACTCAAAAAGATAAATATCTTTGCATGGTGATTCCAACAACAACAACAACAAAAAAAGAGGAAGAATTCAATACTGTTAAATTTGCCTACTGTTGTCATGACTTGCTGTCTGGTCGAAGGGGTAAATGTCTGTGTGTGCTGGCGCAGGTGGGTTCCAGTTAACTGACGGTGCACGAAAACCAATGTCACCCCTCGTGAAAAGGGGCTTAGGTTATGTTTAGTTTTGTTTTACTCCATGCAGCCATTTTTGTGGTCTGTCACTGCGTTGTTGGTGATGGAGCGGGTGTGAAGAAAAAACAATGGCAAAAGAAGCTCTCCAGAGGGAGGTGAAGGGAAAAATCCAGCAGGACGCAGCTTCTCAGTCGATTCACACGAGCTTTTGTGGGCGCGTGCACATGTACGTCGAGTGAGTGTGTGTGTTTGTATGTTACGACAGGAGAATCTTCATACTCCCTCTGCTCTGTAGGTCAGATCGGAGGGAGGAGGCAAAGCTTCTCGCCCACTTTGTTCTTTCATACTTTTTCATCTTTTAACAAACTTGCTTTCTAGTTGACACTCACTGGACCTTAATGATCCATAAGCTGCTGAGAGCACAGGCACAAGCCCCAAAGCAAAAGTGTGTGTGACGGAAGAAAAATCTGCTCACCTTTTCGGGAGGTTTGTGTGTGTGTGTGTGTGCGCGTGTGTGTGTGTGAATGTCACCCCAGAGTTTCGCCCTGTGCCCTCTTGCTCGCTATCTCTGCCTTGTAAAGCCATCGAGGGCTCCCTCAAGCAGGACTTTCATTCAGCTTTCTGTGGTCTCACTGCTCTCTTTACACACACATACACTCACAAATACACATACACGCACAGTAAAAGTTGTGTGTCAATATATCTGGATGTCATTGTTTGCAACATAATGAAATAAAACTCTGTAAATATAATGGTTGCTTGGAGTGTTTTTTGTCTTTGAAGGAGGGAAATGTGAAATTCAGTAAGCTGTTTATAAGAATGAACAGCCTTTTTAGTCTCAACCTCTGTAAAACATTTTGAGTGAATCCATCTTTAGATATGTGCATCAGTCATTTCCATTTGCCAACAGATGGGTCACAGGAGTGATAGAGGAGTCCTCTTTGCTGTTAGGGCCTTCAGTCATGGTATCCTTGAGAGGAGGTGGATATATCTTTTCAGCTATGACTGCCAGATCAGCAGCATAGAGCTCTTGCAGAAAAAAATGGGTCACCAGACAACTTTTTGTTCTAGACGGTTGTTATTATTTATGTATAATCGGCAGACTGGTTTGGTGATGCAGCACTGCCCGCCCTCGCCATCTTCGGCCTGCTCAGCTGGAGGAATAGAATGATCCCTGGTGTTCTTTTCTTTTGTGGGACGTGGAGGATTTAACACCAACTCTCCAAACGGTGCGGCACGATGTTGAAAAGATGGTTTGATAACTCTTGGCGTTCCTTCCTCGGCCACAGCCGCGTTACTGGCCCTGTTAAGGGACAGCTCTGGCCCGCTTATCAATTATGTACGGTACCCCAGCCTCATTTTGCGCTCACACACACCTGCCCACTCACCCACGCAGCAATTACTCTCCTTCTGTCCTCTCTGGTATCCTGGCAACTGTTTCCAGGGTGGCATTTGCAGCCACCACCCTTTGCTCTCTCCCACAGGCTTAGGAGTGAGCTGAACAACTCCAGGCAGATGCAGACGCCCGAGAAAAGTCATTCCAGTCCACAATTTGGGTGGCAGCAAGAGCCCCGGAACATGCCATAGAGCATAGCAACTGGAAACACACGGCATGAAAAAGTGTCTCAATAAGACGTAATGAATGGGTAATGAACCCCCTTCCTCAGTTTAAAACTGGTGTCGCTCAATGTAAGCGCTGGAGTAGAAACATTGGCCTACTTGTGCCAAAAGAGAGCAGAAAAAAATAAGTTTCTCATTTGTAATGCGTCTGGGACATCCATTTCTCTCTGAGTGTTGGGTTAGATTACAGCCAGGAGAGTGGCGGCCTATGTGAGCCAGGGCTGATTGAATAAGGTGGCGTGATAAGGCTGGGCCGAGAGGGTTTCAAGGTCAGTGTCCATAACAGACCAGCCGGATGTCGCCGCCAACCGTGCCCCCCCCCCCAGGCTCGCATTCCTCTCATGACTCTTTGAATGCAAACGTCTCAGATGCAGAGCACTGCAGGCTCGCTCCGTGTCCATCTGTGGGCCCGTGCGTCATCCTAGTACAGCTCCACAGCGTCCACTAAGGCTGGCGTGATTTGCGTCCTAATCCCTGCTAAAACCAGAGGACGGGGATATGTCGGGATGTGGCGCGCTCTAGTGGTGCCTTCCACTGACAGCTCCATTTCCATTTCCCTCCCCTGGGAATAAGAGGCCTCGGAGCCCTGAATACAAGAGGGCAGCAGTCGTATCGATGTCCCGGAGGGAGACCATAATCTAGAACATGTTAAGCAACTTTTAAAAGTGTGTTCATAACAAAGACTATCAGTAGAATTTGAATCAAGTTAAAGATGACTGATTAAACGCATTGGATTTTAGTTTTGGATTTAACATAAGACAAGCTTTGGGGCTGTGTAAATACAAATATATTTGCAATATAATGACACTCTTTTTGTTATACATATTCAATATGCTGCTTAAAGCTGAAGGGGAATATTCTGGAAAACAGAACTAGTTCCCTGATCTCAATCTGAAAGATATGGATCTCAACTTCTGAGGCCAAAGGGTTCTTAGAAACATTACTGAATCTCTTTTATTGTCTCTCATTGCTTCTTTTCGAAAATAAAAAGAGCACTATGTAGTCCAGGGAATGCTGTCAGGAGGAGTGTGTGGGTGGTGGACATGACGAAACCCTACAGAGAAACAGCCAAAGGCCAGTGGGCTAAAAAACCAACCACTGAATAATCAGCCATTTTTCTGATGAATATGTGAAATTTACGGGGAAATTGGTAAGATATTTATACACAAAATCATTTATACATACAAACATAAAACAGGTTTTTAAGGTTGGTTCAATCAGCATGGGTAATACAATATTATTTTAGTATGCCTAGTACGGTAATTAAAGGTTTCTTTCCTCACTCATACTAATTCTTATACTTGTCTTTGTCATTTATCCTGTGTTGCAGTGCTTCTTCCGTCTGTAGATCCACAAGTGATGCAGCACTTCTAACTGGGTCAGCCCTTCCCTTCTTCTCATCCCTCCCTCCAACACTGTCTCACCAAGCCCTCCCTCCACCCCATCTTCCTCCTCCCTCTCCCTTCCTCCATACATACCTATCGCCCAGTAGGCTTTCTTCTTTTCTTTCATGCACCTCATGTGCTTACCATGTGGTTGATCTCCGGGATTGTTCTATATGCTGTCATTGCATCACAGCCTGTTTCAAAATTACTCCCAAGCCCCAGCACACACACACACACTGTGCACTGGCTTCTCACTGTCTTTTTTTAACAAAAAAAATAAAACAGGTTCCCTTATGGATCTGACAGTTGTTTATGGCTTAGCCGTGGATCTGATAATGGTGTTAGTGGGTTTGTTTGTGGAGAGAAAGTGAATGGCATGGCGATGGCGGCCCTAATGTACTCCTGAGCTGCTGCTGTGATTGGCTAATCCTGTCAGACCTGTGATGTGGTGGAGGATATATATGTCTGAGAGGTCTCCAATCAAAGACTGTTGCCATGCAACCACAGGCTTACTCCATACATGTGTCCATGTACACTGTATAGAAAGAATGAAAGATCGATATAACAGAAATCATTCCTGTTGATAGCACAGGATGGATTTTCCCCTGAGAGATATAGGCTATATGAATGACCATTCCTGACAATACATATTTATGGGTACTTCATAGAATATCAGCAACAAGATATGGCGCAATAATCCAACCAAGACATTATAGGGAAGGGAAAGCTGTTGCAGACAGGATATCCCTGTGAGGAAGTTAGACATAAAAAGAAAAAGTCCATATAAATACTTCAATACTTCAACCCTAACCAAAATTACTTTAACACGACCCTTAATGTTTAATGGCAGCCATAGCAATCTTTGCACATCATCCTGCAACACAACCCTACACACACACATAGTGGTCAGCTGCTTTCTTTTCAGCGTGCACCCGCTTCCACTGGCCCCGCCCACAGAGCTTTGACTGACAGCTCTGATCCCGAGACAGCGGGGTGGCCAGTCACGCTCTCGCCATGCAAATGAGCCGCGCTCGGGCCGGGCGGGTGCCCATGTGGACCAGCACCATGCCTTGTTGTCCTGAGCGCTGATTGGCTCGCCGACGCCTGATCGGTGTTCATGCGCCGCGGGCCAGCGGCGGAAGCCAAAACACGGAAGAGAACCTAGGGTCGCGGAGCTTCCTGGTAGCCGAAGCCCGGGGGTAAAAGAGCGTTCGGCCAGCGGGGGCTGTTTGTTCACCGGGCTCTTAAACAAACTTTGTTTAAATTTACTCCCTAATATTGGGGAAAAACCCCGGCCTGTTGTTGTTATAACCGATAGCGTCGGGGAGCGGTACCGGGCAGGTCGCCGGGTTTTGTTCGCTGCCGTAGTAACAGGGCGGGGCGGAGATCCGGGTGGGGCGGCCCTTAACGAGAACACGACTCGCCTTGTTGTGTGTATTCCCGTGCTCGCATCGCCATCTTGTAGCGATCCTATTTTTTTTTTTTTTTTTTTTTTTTTTTTTGGGCGGCTCCCGCTGCTGTTTGGTTGGAAAAAAAAAAAAAACGCATTTGCTCTCAGGAAGAGAAACGGGGGGCGAAGGGCTCGGGCTTACGGCTGTGAACCGTGCACACGGCGCCTAAAAACAGGGACACTGCCTACCCCCCTCTGCCTTTTTCCTCTTTCCGTCCCGGGCCACCGGGTCCCCTGCCGTGAGGGTTTACGAGCAATGAGTATCGACACTCTTTTGGAGGCGGCCAGATACCTGGAATGGCAAGCCCAGGAGCAGCAGCAGCAGCACCTCAAACGTGGTGAGGAGAACCACCGCCTGGCGCTCAACATTCGTGACAGCAAATTACTGGGGTGGGGGGTTGAGTCTCTGGCTTTGGAGGAAAGAGCTCCCGTTACTAGCGGCGGTGGGGTTTGCATTTTTAACCGTCCCGCCTGTGAGGAAAAGGGTGCGTTTGTAGGTTTTGTGTGTTGCGGCGGACTCCGGGCAGAAGAAGAGCTAACAGGAAGCTACCTTTGGAGTCCGGGCGATCCCCCCTAATGCACACAACGTCTCCCCTAAATGCGGAAATGCCAAAGTTGTTTTTCCGAACTACTTTGCGCGCTCTTGGCTTGTGTGTACGTGAGCGTGTTTGTGTGTGTGTGTGTCACAGTTTCAACCCTCCTGTGACTCACCGTACGCGCGCGCATGTGTGAATGGAAACCCAGCCGAGGAGTTAGTGCCCGTAAAGGTGGTGCATTTGAATCTAGTTTTGGTCTTATGTGGGTCCCGAATGCGAGTCCGCAGTTTAAGGTCTGCGGTTCATACCGTACACGTGCTGAAATAAGTTTAAAAACCGCGAGGAGCAGTGATAAAAAAAACAGCAGACTGTGCTGTGCCAAAGCCCCTGCGTGTGTTTGTTGTGAGGACGTCCGTCTAAATGAGTGTTCCCCGTTTTTTGTTCGTCGAGCACCGGCTGGGCGGTGGCGAGCCGAGGCTGCTCTTTACATAATAGCCTGACATTGCTAAGCTATCTTATGACACACACGCGCTGGGGCGTGCCCTCACGCGCTCAGACGGGGTAATTTGTGTATCTGCGTGGCGGCTTCGACACGTCTGTCCGCGCCACCGCCTCCCGTTTGAAAGGTTGGAAGGTTGTCAATCGACGTAATGATCTCGGGCTAGGTG